CAGGGGGGCTGGGAAGGTGGCTCAGTGGTAGAGCGCTTGCCTTGCATGCCTTGGGCCCTGGGTTCAATTCCTTAGCACCACATAAGCAAAAAGAGAAAAGCCGGAAGTGGCGCTGTGGCTCAAGTGGTAGAGTGCTAGCCTTGAGCTGAAGAGCTGAGGGACAGCGCCCAGGCCCAGAGTTCAGGCCTCAAAACTGGACCCCCCCCTCCCCCCCCCAAAAAAAGTTCAGGGATAGGGGCTGGGAAGGTGGCTCAGTGGTAGAGTGCTTGCCTTGCATGCACGAGGCCCTGGTTCTATTCCTCAGCATCACATAAGCCGTAAAAGCCAGAAGTGGCACTGTGGCTCAAGTGGTAGAGCACTAGACTTGAGCTGAAGAGCTGAGGGACAGTGCCCAGGCACACAATTCAAGCCCCACAACCGAGGTTGTGGGGATGGTGTTCGAGCTCTGAGTTCAAGCCCCATGACCTATAGAAACAAAGCCTGACTTTATTGGCTTAATTAATTATTTATTTATTTTTGTCAGTTGTGGGACTTGAATTCTGGGCCTGAGTGCTGTCCCTCAGCTCTTCAACTCAAGCACTCATCACTTGAGCCACAGCATTACTTCTGGTTTTCTAGCAGTTAATTGGAGAAAAGAGTCTCATGGACTTTTCTCCGAGGGCTGGCTTTGAACTGCAATCCTCACATCTCAGCCTCCTGAGCTAGGATTACAGGCGTGAGCCACCAGTGCCTGGACTTTATATTACTTTTAATGTGTGCAGTGTAGAGTGAGATGGTAGTGATTGCTCTTTTTTTTTTTTTGTCGTGGGGTTTGCTGGGCCTGAGCGCTGTCCCTCAGCTCTTCAGCTCAAGGCTAGCACTCTACCACTTGAGCTACAGCACCACTTCCGCTTTTCTGGTGATTTTTATTGGAGATAAGAGTTTCATAGAGTTTCCTGCCCGAGCTGGCTTTGAACCTTGATCCTCAGATCTCAGCCTCCTGAGTAGCTAGGATTACAGGCGTGAGCCACTGGCACCCGGAAGTGATTACTCTTCTTCCTGTGCTGAATTCATTCCCAAACATTCCAAAATCCTCAGGCACTTTGTAGTCTTGCAGAGAGTAAGCTGAGGAGGGCAGCAGTGGTGCGGATTGCTCATTGTGGTGTGGTTAACCCCACTGCGTTTTGTTGAAGGTCTGTTCCCCAGGATTTTGTCCTCCAAGAAAATCCTGCCATGATTGGATCGGACCCCCAGATAAGTATTCAAACCTTCGACCTGTCCATTTCTACGTCCCAGAAAATGAATCGCCAGTGGAACAAAAGCTTAGAGAATTAAGACAAGAAACACAAGAATGGAACCAGCAGTTCTGGGCAAACCAGAATTTGACTTTTAGTAAGGTAGGTGAAGGTTTCAGATCAGAATAAGAAATAATGCGCTCGGCCGCTGGGGGGTGCTATATCTTTAGTATCTTCGCTGCTTTTCTGTTGGGTGCAGCACAGGAAGAACTGGCCAGGCCTAAGTCACAGTCAGTACCTGAGGCTTTCGAGGCCAGGAAGTGCCCGTCTTGTGCATTCATGCTTGTGAAAATTAGGGTTGGTAGTGTTATTTCTGAGATAAGTAAGCCAAATAGGTAAGCTAAAATCCTTAGCAGCTTACTTACAGATAAACTATGTCAAACTCACAGAAGAAAAATATTAAAACTTCACTTGGGTGGGACAAAAGTGTATTTATCAGATTCCATGGATCTGTAAGCAAAGGGCTTCCCGAAATTTATTGACTGTCCATTTTCAAGCATGAAACGTTTAGCGGGTTCATGATTGAAATTGGGCTTTGAGCTGGGCTGTGGCTAGGTGAATCCATGTGAGACTCACCCAGAACCCGTGGGCTGTGCTGTAGCCGGGGAATTGGGAAGGCGGAGAAGGGGCAGTTCTTGCCTTTGTTCCTAAGCTTTCGTTCCAGTAGTGATGATCATCTTCTTGTAGGAAAAAGAAGAATTCATTCGCTCAAGACTGAAAACTAAAGGTCCAGGCCTGAAAACGGATGCAGGTCAGTGCACACTGCGTGGTAGGAGCAGTAGGAAGGAGGGATAGTCAGCGGGCACAGTGAGTGCTGGCTCAGGCCCTCTTGATCTCTCCAGCCAGCCTCCCGTCTCAGGTTTCCCTTTTTTCTCTTGCCTCTAGAGACTTCTTTTCCTTGTCCTGTGTCTCGCTGTTGTGGGTTTCTGGGCAGTCAGACCTTCAGTCTTTCATGAGATCATACCCTGAGGATTTTCAGTTTTTGTGTTTTTTTTCGTGTCAGTGCTGGGGATGAACTGGGGGCTGGCATAGGTGAGGCAGGTGCTCTCCCACTTGAGCCACATCCCCAGCCTGGGTCCTTCCAATCAGTGACTTTGGGCCTGAGGTCCCAGGGCCTTGGCATACACCCCAGTGCGCCCAGCTCCCACCCCACACCCTTGCTCCTCTTCCCAGAGTCTAGCCAGTTAGGAGCAGGAAGCAGAGAGCTGTTTTTGGTCCTCCTCTCTGAAGGCTAACCTCTGCAGGGTTTCGCAGACTTTTGCCTCCCTGTCCTTTAACCATTGCTGAGCTTTCAGGTGCCTGTTAATTCTTCACTTTTTGCAGTAACTTCCTCATTTTTCTCTGGCTTTCAATCTTTTTTTTTTGTTGGTCGTGGGGCTTGAACTCTGGGCCTGGGCGCTGTCCCTCAGCTCTTCAGCTCAAGGCGAGTGCTCTACCACTTGAGCTACAGCGCCACTTCCGGGTCCTTCCAATCAGTGACTTTGGGCCTGAGGTCCCAGGGCCTTGGCATACACCCCAGTGCGCCCAGCTCCCACCCCACACCCTTGCTCCTCTTCCCAGAGTCTAGCCAGTTAGGAGCAGGAAGCAGAGAGCTGTTTTTGGTCCTCCTCTCTGAAGGCTAACCTCTGCAGGGTTTCGCAGACTTTTGCCTCCCTGTCCTTTAACCATTGCTGAGCTTTCAGGTGCCTGTTAATTCTTCACTTTTTGCAGTAACTTCCTCATTTTTCTCTGGCTTTCAATCTTTTTTTTTTGTTGGTCGTGGGGCTTGAACTCTGGGCCTGGGCGCTGTCCCTCAGCTCTTCAGCTCAAGGCGAGTGCTCTACCACTTGAGCTACAGCGCCACTTCCGGTTTTCTGGTGGTTTATTGGAGATAGGAGTCTCACGGTCTCTCCTGCCCGGGCTGGCTTTGAACCGCGATCCTCAGATCTCAGCCTCCTGAGTAGCTAGGATTACAGGCATGAGCCACCAGCGCCCGGCTTGGCTTTCAATCTTTAAATCAGGCCAGGACACTGTGCGTGTGCGTGTGTGTGTGTGTGTGTGTGTGTGTGTGTGTGTGTGCGCACACACGCATGCACGCAGGGGCGGGGCCAGTTCTAGGCTTTGAACCTGTCCTAGGCGGTTTGAACTTGTCCTGAGGTGTTTTTTTTTTTGTTTTGTTTTGTTTTTGGTGGGTGTGGGGCCTGAACTGTGGGCCTGGGTGCTGTCCCTCAGCTGTTCAGCTCAAGGCTAGTGCTCTACCACTTGAGCCACAGCGCCACTTCGGCTTTTTTCTTTTTGCTTATGTGGTGCTGAGGAATCGAACCCAGGGCCTCAGGTATACAAGGCAAGCGCTCTACCACTGAGCCACCTTCCCAGGCCTCAGCACATATTTTCTATGAAACACAATCCAGTAGTTGACTCTTTGTGGGCCATTTGGATTTCTGTTGGAATTATGTAACTTGGCTATTGGAGACCATGGCAGCCTGGACAGACAGCAGCAGACGCCAGACACCAGACCAGGAGCCTGAGGTTTGGGGCACCAGGAGCCTGAGGTTTTCCATCAGCTTCAGGTGTCTGGGTCCATTTTAGAGGGCATTTACAGGTACATACACAGAGAGAAGTCACCAGCACCAATAATGCAAAACAATCTTTTTTTTTTTTTTGCTGATCCTGGAGCCCAAGCACCAGGGCCTGGGCACTGTCCTTGAGCCTCTCTGTGCTCAAGGCTAACGCTCTACTACTTGAGCCACAGCTTCTGGCTTTTTCTGCTTATGTGGTGCTGAAGAATCGACTCCAGGGCTTCATGCATGTGAGGCAAGCACTTTACCACTGAACCACATTCCAAGCCCCGAGATATAATCTTAATCCTTGAAGTCACAAACACCAATCATGTGGTAGGTATACTTTTACTTAAGTGACAGATGACCTTCTTTACCTTAAGAAGCAGGTGTAAGCAGTAAATGACTTACGGTTAACATAGATTTTTGTCTGTCCCCAAATTCCCAGAAAGTTTGGTGTGCAAATAGCCTATACTGGGATGGGAATCTGAGTTCCCTTCAGGTCGGGACTGATTGACATTTTCAGGAAGCTCTCGGCATTCTGAGAGTTCCTGTTGGGAAGAGGCATCCATCCTCCCAATCCTTTCAGGTCTCATAGCTCAGCTTTTGGAGGCTCTGACACACAGGCACGTGAGCTTGGATGTATTCCAGCAAACTTACTTTTCAGAAACAGGTGATGGGCCAGATGTGGCCTGTAAATAAGATTTGTCAACCCCTGCTTCACATCCATTGCTTGTACCCTTGCTGGACCGTTCTACCCAGAATGCACATTGTGTGGATTTGCAGCTCGGTGTGGACTGTTAGATGCTGGGGCCTGCTGGGCCCAGCCTGGCCACCAGCCGCCTCCTAGGTCAGCCGCTTGAGCAAGGGAAATCATACTGCCTGAGTTCCCTCTGTCTAGGATGTTTTATCAGTCTAGTGCTCTACCACCTTCCCAGCCCTGTTGAACAGTTCTCTACTGGCAAAATGTTACTCTGAGGGCAGTTGAGGACCATTGACCTCACAAGGCAGGGCTGGCCTGGACTCATGTGCCGTGTCCCTGGTAGTCTCCAGCTGGTCTGGGCTCATGTGCCGTGTCCCTGGTAGTCTCCAGCTGGGTTCTTCTGGAAGGAGGGTGGGCAGCAGAGTGGTCTGGATGCCAGCCCCTACTGCATGTGCTTTGTGACACCAGTGGGGGCTTGGAAAGCATTATTTCCTAATCCGAAGTGTAGGAATGGCAGTCCCAAGTGCTGGGTGCTATGCTAAGTCCTTTGCATGCACATTCATATCCGAGGACCAAAGGAAAGAGCTGCTGTTGCCTTGCTGGTTTACACGAGGAGTTTGAGGCTTGTGGGGAGCAATTCCCACCAAGATAGTGGTGGAAAAGGAAGAGGAAGAGGGCCTAGTTCTGCTCAAGGGAGTCGGATCTCAGCAGTTTTTAGCTATTGGCTTTGCTTACATGAGCAAGCGTGTCTGGCTCTGTGTGTTTGTGTGTGTGTATGTCTCTTGGCTGTCTGTGTTGAGTGTGAGTGTATGTGGCTGGCAGCTGTGTTTTGTGTGTGTGTGTGTGTGCGTGTGTGTGCAAGCGTGTGTGTCTCCCATTTGTTGAATGTGGAGGGGGCTGCTGTCTGTGTTGAATGTGTGTGTGTGTGTGTGTGTGTGTTCTGTCCGAGGGAGTGTTAGGCTGGCTTATCCTGTAGAGCATGTTGGAGACTAGCCACTCTCCTGACAGATGGAAGAGGTTGTTTTGAGTCTGTTAAAATGTCATAGAATCCTATTGATGGCTCTGCTAGGTGTTGGAAGTCTGGCTTCCAATCAGATTCTACAATTAATTTGGTCATAAAACAAGGTATGATGTGTGGAGGAGAGGGTACAGCTGAGGGTGGGCGGGCGCCCTGAGTGTTCGGGAAATCCCAGTTAGATTTTTTCTTTTTTGCCGGTCCTGGGGCTTGAACTCAGGGCCCTGGGTTCTGACCCTGAGCCTCTTTTGCTCTACCACTTGAGCCGTAGCACCACTTCCAACTTTTTCTGTGGTACTGAGAAATGAAACCCAGGGCTTCATGCATGCAAGGCAAGCATGCTACCACTAGGCCACATTCTCAGCCCCCCAACTAGATTTGAGGCGTAGTGAGGGCCTGTGTTCTTAGAATGCTAAGAGTGGATGGAAGGTGTTCTCACTCAAGGTAGCCGTTGTGTGGGGTGGTGCAGGTCGCTGGCTGCACTCCCCCACAACATCATTTGTACATGGTGAGCACACACTTTTTTTTTTCTTTTTGTCTGTTGTGGGGCCTGAACTCTGGGCCTGGGCGCTGTCCCTCAGCTCTTCAGCTCAAGGCGAGCGCCCTACCACTTGAGCCACAGCGCCACTTTGGGTTTTCTGAGTGGTTTATTGGAGACCAGGGCTGGCTTTGAACCGTGATCCTCAGATCTCAGCCTCCTGAGTAGCTAGGATTACAGGCGTGAGCCACCAGCTCCCAGCTAACACACACACACTGTTTTCTGTCAGTGTAAACACAGACCAGAATGGGGTGGGGCCATTTCATGACTGTTTCACACACACTGAGACTGGGGGGCTCATTGAGGCAGGAGAGCGTTGTTTATTGAGAATGGAGGTGGTGGGGCTGGAGGTTATGGCTCAGTTGGGAGAGTGCCAGCTAAGGAGCAAAAGTGTCTGGTACAGAGTTTGAATCCTGGAGGTTATGGCTCAGTTGGGAGA